GCCTATCTGTAGGAAACTGGTTTCATAAAAGAGTTATTATAAAAACAATTTCATTTGAGTTGTATTTAACAAGGTTAATGTGACAACATTGCTGGTGATAACATCCTTTAGGTGGAATTCAAATAGAAAATTCCATATAGTAACAAAAGTATTAAACTGTCATAATATCCCCCATCCCAATTCCAAAGTGCCAATCATATACTTGAGATAACAACAAAGGGCTTGACGATGGTTCTACAAGTAGTTCAGAGAAAATTTTTAAATATCCCGTTAGTCAAAATTTAGAAAAAACTTAAAAATAATAACTCAATAACAGTGCCATCATTAAGCATGTATCAATATTTATTGAATAAAATTACTGATTTAAATGATACTGAAGATTACAGGCCTTTGGAGAGGCATCTTAACTTGTGAACTAAATTTCTAATCATTTCCCCATTTGCTATTAGAAAAATCAAAATCAGAGAAGAAACTGCTCATGAACCATCCACCAGTTAAAACTGACCCCTAAGGAACCTCTCAGCATCTCTATTCAACAAAGAAGTTATAAAATTTAAGGAGTAATGAGACAACAGCTGAGGATCTCAGAAGAACTCAGCCCCAAATATATTCTGACCCTGGATGTATCCTGTGCATCCGTCAATTTATTTACCTTTACAATGGGAACAAGAGAGGCAGTTATGAGTAATTGCTAATAAAAGCATATTTGCCTCTGGCAGAAATACAAATGCTTGCTCATAATGATCATTTTCCCAAACCCAAATTTACATTTCTCCATTAACAGGATCCTATGGGTTTTGGTATCTGACTAAAAGACGAAGCTGAATTTGGAGAATAACTGGAGCTAACTCCATGAAGCAGCCAGCTCCTAACTTCCAAAGAAGCTATTATACACGTCGGCACCTCATTTCATTTTTCACTGCAATGACACCCAATCTTTGTGATAAAAATGAACCCAAGGACACCACCCCAAAGAACTTGTTTCTCTTGGATCCACCAAAGGATAAAATGTTCTCAATGCCACCTCAAAGGATAAACACCCTTCTCCAAATACCCCTTTTAATTGGCCGGTTGACTGTTCCCTGGGTGTGACTGCACGGATTTATCCCGGGTGTGTAACCAAATTGGAAAAGTCTTCCTGATTTCTGAGTACCCTAGCAAGAGTATGGACTGATGTTTAAGCACTGATGTGACCCTAGCACTTTGCAAAAAAGTATCTTCTTCTTGGAGAAACGGGACTATGACCTCTTTCAGGTCTGTAACTCCAGTCAGCTATATCATAAGACGAGCCAATGAAGGTCATAGAGATTCAACAGAACCATCCTACCAGAAAAGGGGAAAAGAATTAGACTATAGTTTTAGTGCAATAATTAAAAGTCATTTACTGGTCACAGGTTGCAAAATGTCCAAATATCTACATTCATTTCCCCCCAAATGTGCATGTGCAAGTCTAGGGTAATTCTAGGTTATAATATAAATAATTATAAATTATAAATAATTAGCACAGGTTGGTTTCTCAGTATCCTCATATCAAAACTCTTAGGGTAAATTGGTATATCCTTATTTTTGTGAAGCAAGTTATTCATTTTTTCCAAACACCTCTCAAACTGAGAAACTCTGCCTGTTTCTAAAGATCAAACTGAAAAAGATCCTGTAAAAGTTACTATGCAGATACCCCTGCAATCTATTCCACCTGGAGAAGCTGGGTTTCTTCAAGTGACTCTTCTCTTCCACCAAGAAACATACATCACACTTAGAAAAATCAAACTACACTGGAGAGTTAAATAGTATTTATGATATCTTAAACTGCACCTGATTTTTGGCCTTCGATTACTGTCAATGCTCTAATGTTTACGAGCAATCTTCACTCATTTCCAAATGGTGATATATTTCCATTCTAAATGGGGATTACCGTTATCAGACGTAAAAACAAGACCAACATGTAATATACTAGATTAATTCTAAACATATTCCACATCTCGATGGTCTGAATAACAAACCTGTTTTCAAATGGAAGCCCTCTTTGGGCTCAGTTTTTCAATTTTTATTTTAAATTTAATAAATGTTCCTTAACTTTGGCCTAAAAGGAAAAGATTCCCTTTTCCAATATTTATTATGTGATTTAGGGAAACTATTGGAAAACTTAAATTTAGAGACATTTTTCTAAGACTAGAATTACCACATTTATAATAAGAAAGGGCCTGTTAAAATAAAGAATAATTTTGAAGATGAGTATTCCATCAAGGTTAGAGTGTCTAAATAACAAATTATTGTCAAGTGGCTATCTGCCTGATGAAAAATGTTTCAATTTCTCAGTTTACCTGAATTCATGCTCTCCTGCCTGAGGATATTCAGTATTACAACTTGACATTTAAATCGCTAAATCTAAACAACATGGATTGCTTAACTATGTAGAGGCTTTTTAAATGCTGTAGCTTTCTTTCCACCCAGTTTTATGTACTTATTTGTGCAGAGTGGTAACTTTTTAATCTTATTTTTCATTATTTTACTTGACAAAGTTCACTTCCGTCAGTTATTTAAATCTTAAAACAGCAAATCAAAGGTGGAGAAAGTTCAGTAACTTTAATTCCAATTTATTCCTTTCGCTTTATTTAAACTTTTTATGCATTGGTTCCACCAAAAATGCTAAATAATTATCTCTAGCCAGAAAAAAAAAATCATGGTTTCATTATGGATGATGGATGCCAGAAATTTATTGCTGTTTTTTTTTTAATTAATAAAAAGAAAGACTCAGCTCATCCAATCTAAGATTTTGATCCTGAACATAACTGTTAAAAGCAACAAAAATGCTTTGAAAGTATGTATTTGCAAAACCTTTGCGAAGTCACTAATGGGGTTCCCATGATCTAATACATTTAAGGCTTTAACTGTAATCGTAAACCCACTGAAAGCTTAGGATCTGAAAGTGTGTACTACTGTAACTTGTTTTTATGGGTTTAATTCCACTGGCAAATCCCAGTTTCTGTATTTTAAATCTCAGCTAGAGCAAAATCACAAGACATTTTCAAAAGGACAATGTAAAGAAAGCAAATGCTAGGATATTATGGCAAGAAAACCACTGCCAACAACCACACTCTCCTACAAACCATCAAATGAACTTCAAAAGCACAAGACTGAGCAAAAACTCTTAGTTCGTGACATATGTAGAGTTCACTTTTAACACTCACAAACATCACATTTTTTTTACTCTGATTTATTTCCCATACAAGTTTCAATAAAACACAGAACTTACTCAACCTTGACTGATGAATGGATCACTGTTTTCAGAGGTTGTTTATTATTCATTTTCTGGCATGTTTTCTTCTATGCTTCAATTCCATGACTGCTAAAAGCCAGGAAAAGCTATCTTCAAATCAACGCATGGCACAAAGTCACTAAAAAAAGTACCAGCACTATGCTCTACCTGGCTGTTTAGAAGTTGTTCTGTTTTGTCCTAGGAATCGCCAGATATGTAATCTTTGCAGGGTGCATTGAGATTTGTGATTAAAAATGATCCTCTCTTTTTCCCCAAAGGGATTTGAGTTATTGCAGCAAATGATTTATTTATGCTCAAAACAAGATTCAGCTTACCTCACCTATCCAATATATTTATAGACTAATGATCCAAGGTTTATACATGGCAGACACACAAATATAAAAATACCAACATCAAGGATATCTATTTTGTTTCTAAAATTTATTTGTTTCTCGTTTCAAATATTTCTTGATTTTTAAAATTCAGTATTACAAGTTTTATTATGAGCTATCAGGCCTAATTCCACCTTACAGACAAAATTTATTTTACAAAGGTGTAAATGAACATAGTATTCATTTTATAACCAAATACATGTAAGAACAACTTGTTTTTTTTAAAAAAAACTTTACTGTATGTATTTACACATATATTTATGGATTTTCCTGCAAGACTATCAATGTGGTCAACAGAAAACATAGGATTTCAAGCACTATGCACTAGCAGTATTAGGCCGAATGTTCTAAAAATGTCTTTCAAAAACACTATCTTTTCATTTTATTTTTCAATGTAAGTATAATTAACTTATTTCATGCCATCCATGCAACAAACGTAACCGCAAATTTTCTTTTGGTTTGGAAATACTAAATTTTTACCTTGAGTTGAAAGCAGTCAATAACTTTGATAAAAATTGATTCACCTTTTTTTGTTTGTTTTATTTTGTTTTCTGTTGTTCCGCTATACCTACGTTTGGATAGCCTAAATCCTCTTTTTATGCACGAAAAGTATTTTTTAAATACCTTTGGATTTATTTTCTACATAAACCTGTGACTCTTTCGATATATTTATTAAGTGCCCTATCTTTATTGGTCTTAGCTCTTGTAGAGAAAGGAAATCAGATTTGAGGAATGTTTTTATTATCATTGTTGTTTTTTAGTTACTTAAAACTAATTGGGGTTGACCTCCTCAGCTTGCACCACAACGTGACATATTCCAGAACTATTTTTGGAATAGTTAAGTAATTTAACTATTACTTAAAAGGGAGAGACTTTTAAGTAAAGTTCAGCGAATAGAGGATTTTTTTTTTTTTTTTTGAACCTCAGGATACTGATTTACTTGTAAAATTATCAATGGAGTCGGGAAGAGGTTGGAGTTAACTCGAGGTGAGAAGCAACCCATTTCCTGAAACAATGATTCAGGTGCTGGACCAGATCAAGGGTTTGAACTTTCTGAGAACCACCCCGGCACTGGGAAGAAGGAAAGGTCCTCCGGCTCCCGAGGCCCGCACGTGGGCTGCGCTGCCTTCCCTTCATTTCCAAACTGGCGATCAACATCTTGACCAGCCCTTCCCAAGCTGCAGACGCCTCTGCAAAGATAGCCGCTGAAGAGTCTGGTCCCACGCAGGGGCACGAGAGAGAACTCCCCGGGCCATCCTCTCACCCTCGGGTGGGAAGACACAGGCGGTAAGGCGCCCGACTCCTGCGTGAGAGCTACCGCGCCCCACCAATCCCCCGGCGGGACGTCTTACCGGTACAGGAATGCAGGGGCTTGGGTCGTACGATCAGCGACGGGCACACGGAGTAGAGGGAAAGTTTCTCAAAGTAGTCGCAGGTTTCCTTGGAGAGGATCTCGTCGATCATGAAAGTCTTGTAGCGCCGCCTGGCTGCTTTGAGCTGGCCGGGCGAGCTCAGTCTCAGCTCCGCGTGGCAGTGCATGGTGAGCCCGGGCCGCGGGGACTGGCGCGCTGGCGGGGTCTCTGCCCCGCGCCTCGGCAGCGAGGGAGGCGGCGGAGCCCTGGAGGGGCGCGGAGGGGAGCGGGCACCCGGCGCGCCGGCCGCGCGTCTACACCCACCCGCGGATCAGCATCTTCGCCGCGCCTTTTTGGGGCAGCGCAGCTGTCAATCAGCGCGCGCTTCCCGCGGGACCGGGTGCGGAGTCCCGCGGAGGGGCGTCGGCTCCCAGCCCGCCCTGCCCGCCTGTGCCACTCCGGCGCAGGCCTGCGCGCCGCGTGCCCGCCGCTCTGGTCTCCTCCCGCCTGTCAGCGTCTAGCGCTCCTCTGCCTTCCTCTATTTTAAGACACTGGTTTCGTCTCTCCTCCCCGCCCCCCTCCTGGGACGAGCTCCAGGTGTGTGTGTTGAGTGCGCGCTCGGGTGTACGCGCGGTGTGGGGAGCGCGCGCCGCCCCGCCCGCGGGCCTGGCCTCTGCAGGTCCCAGAGCATCTCCTTCGCGCGCGACTCACCACCAGCCCCGGGCCCCGCTCCTAACGCCGGCAACCGGGTGGGCGGGAATGTCTAAGTCTCTTAGTAGAAAGAAGCTAAGTCTTCGCCGAGGCTTCCAAGGCCGCGGGCCACAGGGCCAGCGTCCCCGGCGACCAGTGTGCCTTTCTCCTTTCCTGCGTCCACCCCCTCCCGTCCTCTAAGCTCGCAGCCTGCGCCCAGCCCGTGCGCGCAGAACGGGGCATTTGCGCCGATAGCAAACTTGACTACCCCACAGATCTCCCAAACCATACATGACTCTTGCCCTGTCAGTTATGCAGTAATAAACTTTAAAAAAAAAAAAGTAAACAACAAAAAGCATGTGTTCTTTTTTATTTTTAAACTCTACTTATAAACGTTTCCGTCCCCGGAAGGGCCCGCGCAGCGCGATTCCCCAGCGCCGGCGTGCCCTTCGCAGGCATTGCGTTCCCAGCATCTCCGAGCGCGGGACACTCCTGGCAATGCAGCTTTCGTACGCAGTCCCTAGCCACGCGCAGGGTTCGGGGAGCCGCGAAGACCTGCGTCTATTAGGCGGTTGCCTTTCTTCCTCCTGTGCTCCCACCATCGGAGTCCGTTCCAATCCATATCTGTAGAAACTTTTGTTTTCAATTGTAATCGCTGGGCGAGGGGACCACAGCCCAGGACTCGCTCCCGGGAGGGGCCGAGAGGAAAACGCGCGATAGATAAAATTAGAATTAAAGACGAGGATGGCCTCCGAGACCGACTTTGGGACTGGATGACATTTCCTCACTCGAAACCTAGAAATGATCGGAATCGCGGCCGGCTCGCCCAGGAGCTGCTTGCCCGGGAGCCCGAGTCGCCGCGGAAGCAAGTCGACCTGTGCGTCCCGGCTGGTGGTTCGACTCAGAGGGAAGGGACACAGGTGGGGAAATAATCTTTATGCCCTAGAGAAAATAGTAACAAACCAAATCAGAGCTGAGCAACAGATACGGCCACAAGAAGCCTTTGAGAAACTTCATTCTCGAAGTGTCCTGTCTGTACCCTGTCGCCCCACCGTTCTCTCCTTTCCATTTCCATTCATTTTCCTTTATTCTCCTAATCCACGCAGAGGCGGCTCGAGGGCCCGCAAGAACTGTGGCTAGAGGTCCCGGCGGCGGCGCGCGTCCGGCCGCATGACCGAGAGGTCCCCGCGCTGGGCCCGGGTGCGCCCCGGGCTCTGGTGGCGGGTCCGCACAGCCTGTCCGCTATCCCGCGCGGGACCGAGTACTGCTCCCCGCCCCGCCCCAAGACCGAGGGGTTCGCCTGGGCGCGCCTGGAGCAGGGACCCGCTGTGCCAAAAGCCAGAGAGGGTCCCAGGGGCGCGGCGTTCTCGCCGGAGACAGTCTAGGGTAGAAAGTTATATTTGCCCCCTTGGAAAGTGCCGGACTCTTGGCAACCGCCGAGAAATGAGTGTTTGGCGGGATCTGAGCGCCGCGTGGCGGGGAGCGACCACACGGGCAGAGCGGTCTACGAGACGTGCTCGAGCGCCTGCAGCCCAGCACCTGGGTGTCAGCCTCTCCATTCCTCCAGGGGACCCTAGCGAGGGACTGAGTATTACCCTTTAGGATTCCTTGTCAGACCCTGCGGTGAGTTCGCGGAATGAGAGCGTGCCGAGTTACTCTACGGGGCCCTGTCTTTGGACTGTCCTTTTCCTCAACCTCTTTCCACATCCTCCAGACTATTTTAGATCCTCCGGCTCTTCCCATTCCTTCCACCGCCACTAACTCCTTTCCTCTTCTCTTTCCCATTTCTCCTTTTCTCCCACTGTTCGCATTACTTTCGTCCTCCTATTCTCTGCACAACTTTCCTCCGTCTTGCCAATCTGCCATCGTTTCTCTTCTTCTACCCATCTTCCACCCCCGTTTCTCTTTTTCTTTCTTTCCTTCTCTTCGTTTTCTTGCTCTTTCTCCCCTTCCCTCCTCCTTCCCTCTCTTCGAACCCGGATCTGGAGCCGCGCTCATGCGTCCCTGCGCCGCAAGGCTCCCGCACCGAAGGCTGCAGGCAGCTCACTGGGAAGAGCCGCGCTGCAGCCCCAGCCTCCCCGCCGCGCGAAAATCAACCTCGTCTCTGCGGGAGCGAGGCGCGGGCGGAGCACGGACGGGTCTCCCCCCTCCCTGCTTCCACTCGACCATAGGCACAAAATTTTCCCAGAATCTCCTGCAGACTGGTCCTTTGATTTGAAACCTGCAATGCTTTAAATAGCTAAAAAAGTAAAACATTTCAACAAATCCTTGGATTTTCCGTCTTTTCTATTTTATACTACAAAATATCTCAGAGCGGGTCTAAGGGCACAAGTTCCCAGGTGTAGTGGGAAAAGTCTAAAGCCTCCAGCTTTCAATCATTTATAATCAAAGCTGAGCCCCAGCTTTTCATTTGTAAATGTAATCATAACACCTACTTCACAAGGTTGGCCTTTCATAATCTATGCCTTTACACAAACTTTATGGGAATGCCCTCGGCACCCCAGCCCCTCCCTCCTTCTCCGCCTGAAAAACTAGTTCAAGACCCATCTCGAACGTCACCTCCTCTGTGAAAGGTTTCCCCACTCCCCACAGCTGTGATTCCTACCTCTATCTTGGTAGTTCTATTACTATCTTGTTGTCTTGTGCATGTTTATTTCACCCACTGGACAATGAACTCCTGGCCGGCTAATTCCTTGTGTATTATTCATCTTGCATCACCAAAACCAACATATACCTGGCACAAAGTAAATTGTTAGGAAATGTGTCATGAGTTAATGAATGCATGAAAGCTGGGATAATTAAATTATGTGTGTGAAAGACCCAAGCACACAATGGAACTTCAAATCTTAACTAGGGGGTTGTGCTGAATTTGTCTTAAATGAGTCTCTCTTCTCCTTCCTTGAAATTTTTGGGTTTTCAGCGATAGTATCTAGCCCAATTCCCATTTTGCTCTCATCTCCCTCTGTTCACTCCCTGTCTCCTGTTCTCAGACTGCAAAGGGCTTCTGTGGAAGGAAGCACACCCCAGCTGTCAATCACAACTTGGGGGTGGGGGCCTTTGGTCCCAAAGAGTTAGGGGTTTAGTTTCCAACATTAATGAAGTGGCTGGAACAGCAAACATCTGCCAAAGAGACTCAAACCTTTCCAGCTGCTGGAGGCCCACAGACACTTCCCAGACTTTTGTGACTGTACCCAGGCGGTGTCTACCCCTGTATGGGGAAGAACACACACAGAGATGCACAGTCTAGTCTGCACCCAGCCCATTAGCTGTGCATGGAAGGGGATAAAATTCACACCCCTCCAGGAAGCTTCAGGAGATCAGATCCTCCTTCCCCAATCTGGCACCTGATTCCTAGAGAAAAAGCCCAGCCAAAAAGAAGGGGGCAAGGACACCTTTGCAAATTTAGGAAACTCTGATGACTAGAAACCAAAGAATCCCTGTTTCCCATTTCAGCTCACACCCAGTATCCCCACTCAACTAGAACATGAAATTCACTAAAACAAAATGGTTATTTATTTATTTATTTTTACAAAATGGTTTTTTAAATCCTAGGGTGGCATTTAAATTGCACCTGATATCTGATTTTTAGTTTAACTATTTTTTTATAATCTTGGGCTATTTGTCCATGTAGATATTCAGAGGCAACCAGGATGTAGTCTTAATACACTAATTTATTCCCAGCCATCTTTTCTCCAAAAGGGGAGAGTGGGAGGAAACAAAAGTACTTCTTACATTCTAGTAAAGTGTACCTAATAACTTGTATTTCAGTCACTAAGTTTTGAAATAGTTTCAGACATGTAAAAGCAAAATAGGGGAAGCCTTGTAAGTTAATATTCCCCTGAGCCCCAGGGCCCATGCCAAAACTGCTGTCTGCGGAGCCCCGCATGGCAGCCTTGCATAACAAGAAGTTAAAGGAGGTGTACACAGAGGCCGGCTTATTTTTAATGATGATATTAATTTACAAAAACTGCTCTCATACATTGCGAAGTATCTTTTTAAGAGAGGGCGCAAGTGCAGTCCACTTGACAAATGGACTTGGAAAGTTCGAATAGATTCTTCTTTCTCACATCATTCTGGAGGAAAAGTTTAAACTGGAAAAAAATAAGACAATGGCTATATATACAGAGCACCAAAAATTTATATTAAGAGTGCAAATGCAATAAATTATCCAAATGTTTCCAAATTTTTAGAAGCTTGGTATGCAAATTAAAATTATTTTGCTGACTATTTTCCCTTTTTAACTGTGCTATCCCAACATCAAAGAGCCCTATTTCTGCCAAGAGCCTGTGTGCCTCAATTATCTCAAAGATATAGCCAGGAAAATAAAATTTAATTACTCCTATCTTTGTCATACTGTTGTGAAAATAGATATGGAAGTTTGGAGTAACTTTGGTTTTGTTTTGTTTTTTTTTTAATATGATATCCCTTCACTAATGAGAAAGCTGCAACAAGAGCGAGAGAAAGCACTCTTAAATATGCAATGAGTAGGTGGAAAGAACTTTTG